ACAATTAAAATTGTACTAGATATTTAATATTTAATAGATATTTAATATTTGCTAAAAGAATTTTGCAATAAAATAAATAGTTCTCAATAAATTTAGATTTGATCAGCGCCAAAATGGCTGACTTTTATTAGATATGATAAATAGGTTGTCTTAACTAATGAAATTTATATTTATATTTATATTTGTGCAAGGAACTTAAATTTTCAAAATAAACTAGAAATTTTAAATATATGTTCATAAAGTATACACTCTCACACCATAAGATTGTTCTTATATTAGATGATCTAATAAGATGACTATTAACAAGTTTTGAAATGCTTTTACACAATTGCGTAAAAAATTTAAGAAAAATAACAATTTTTTATATATATAAATCAATTTCTTTAATTCGGTAATTTTTCAAATCTTTATTCACACTTTATGTGACATGGCAATAAATCTAAAAACTTCCAATTAGAAAAATGAAAGCTTGAGACTTGAATGAGTAGAAAATAAAAGATGATAAGATTTATTAAAATATTTTTATTGCCCAGTATTGCTCTAAAACAACAATATAGTATGATTAATCATCTATCAATTCAAAAAAGTTTCCAAGATTATTTATTTTTGTGATATGCAAAGAAATGCATTCAGAATTTAATAGAATATTACTAAACTATAATGGCAGACTTTTTTAAAATTAAATAATAAATATTATTAATAAAATAATGTGAAAAATATAATAGAGCACTTAAATAGATATATCACTATAATTGACGTATAATAATTTATATATATGTAAACATATATATGCACATATACTTTAGATACATTCAGTCGCACATACTTTTATAAAATATGTTTATATATGTATATAATACATACATAAACATTCCTAAACGCCTTTGACGTCGTCGGCTGTGTTTGAAATAAACATAAATTTAAATTTTTGCGCCCTGGCCACAGGCAGTGGCAGTGGCAATAGCAGCGGCTGTGGCAGTGGCTGGCATGAATATTCAAGGAATACGAGTATGTCCAGCTTCTGGACTTTGCTGCACCGTTAATAGACGGCCGCAAGCAAATGTTGCACAATTTAGGACATTGTGCAGCCGTTGCAGCCCTGCCTCCGGACCATAATTACAGCTCCGAGCTGGGCAGCTGGGTAGCTGGGCAGGAGCTGGGCAGGAGCTGGAGGTAGAGTAATGTGAAGTTCAGTAATTCAAATTAGTTAGCTGAGGTTTCGGTGCGAGAGACCAAGACCGAAGGCAGGACATGATATTGGCTTTACAGTGAGTGCCGTAAATATGCTACACTCATATTGCTGCAAGTATATACATATACATATACACGCATATATGTGTGTACTTCTTGCCCTTGCTGCAGTGCTTAATTTATGTGTATGAGAATCGCATAGAGCGCCGTTTATTATAATATGCAAAACCTGGCAAATGGGCTTTAATTAAAATAATGTATGCTCAGATTATCGACTGTAATTATGTCTGCGGATGTGTGCAAACTGCGGTCTACTAATGTGAGTCAACGTCGGTCTGCTGCCTCTCTCTCTCTCTCTCTCTCTCTACTCTAGTCGAGTCTTCAGATTAAATGCGGTTTCTTGGTGGGTTTCATGAGTGGTATTTATTGTGAAACGTAGCTTAGGTTTTTAGGTTCTTAACTTGTTAATAATGTTGGTAATTGGTTTATATGAGATTCTCTCTCGTTCTCACTCTCTTTTTCTATTCAAATGAATCAGTCATACGATGCAGAGTAAACGGTTTATACACAGCGATTAAACATTGACTACAATATGTAAATAGTTTTTCGATAGACTCTTTTATGACAGATTGAACAGAAGTTTATATTGTATAATTAAAGAACACTATATGAACATCATAATTAAATCGGAATGTTCCTCCCTATCCATAAATAAACATTTTTATTTGTGACCATATAAAAAAAGTTGATGTAGAAAAGGAGAACAGATTTGATCTCAATATAGGCAGTTTGTAGCTCCACCTACAGCTTTTCTCATATTCACATGTTCACAAATTTTGTGTATATACTATAATCCACTTCATAAAATATTAAGAAGCTCTCTTATAACCTATATATACACATATATATCACATATATCCATATACGAATGCTAGGCAATTACTACATGCATAAAAATAACTGACCTGGAACTCAAAACCTATATCGCAGGGCAAGCACAGCTACACAGACACATATGTACTTGTATGTGAACACACATACAAACATATAATATATTTATATATATATTGAAAAAAAAGACTCGTATTCATTAAATTAATTTAATTTTAATTTCAACGCCAATTCGGCATCCCAAATATGACATGAAAATCGCTGACGAATTCAATATATGATGTAAACACACACACACACAGATACACACTCGTGTATATATACATACTCATGTGTGCGTGTGTGTGAATTTAATCAAGAGTCTGTGTGCATGAACAGAATTGTCAACTTCCTTCATGCGAAGGAGCCGCAGTTCACGCATTTCATGGCAGAATAACTGAAATTCCCAGGCTGCAYAGCCATAGTTAGGTCCTGAAACGGACTCAGGGCCCGATCCCAGATCCGAGATGCGAGAAAAAACTAATATTTTGCAGTGTGCATTCCATAATTGATTTATGAATTTTTAATGCAAACATTGAAAGCCACTGGCACGCTGAAAACAAAGAGTTGGCTCCAATGGCAGGAGCTGCTCCTGCTCCTGCTGCTGCTGCTGCTGCTGTTGCTGTTGTTGTTGCTGCTGCGACGACGTGAAGCAACAACTACTGCAAACTGAAGTTAATTCAATAAAAGGAGCGCAACAGCAGCAGCAGCAACAACAACAGCAACAACAACTTATTCGCATTAGCAAAAACACGCATCAGAGCCATGGGCATTCGGATTGGTATTGGCATTGGCAAGGAATGGGAACGGACTTGGGTTTGGGCATGGGCATGGGCAAGGGCTGGCTGGCTGACTGGATGAATGTGAGAATATGCCAAATGCCACGACGCACTGCCGCTGCCGTTGCCGTTGCCAGTGCTTCGAGTCTGTGTCTGCAGAGCGCCCAGAACCGAAAAACCAAAACCAAAAACCGAAACTCAATGCTGGCAAAGCCTGCGAGCTGCTCAGAGCTGCTGCGCCAGCTTCTGCTCCTTTTAATTTCGCTTATTGTTTGTCATTGTTGTTGTTGTTGTTGTTGCTGTTGTCGGCGCCGTTGCCGTGGTGCACTGGCAAGTAGACTGGCGTCAGGCGCAGCCTATTGCGGAGCAGCTATCACTTTTTGCAGCAGACTCTTTGTTTAGAGACGAAGCTGCTGCTGCTGTTGTTGTTGCCGCTCAGGCTGCTGTTGTTGCAGTTGTTTGGTAGTGCAAAAACAAAAATCCATAAACGCATCTCCAGCGGTAGCAGCAACAAGAGCGAAACAGCAGCAGCCACAACAATTCACAACACACGCATACAGCTGCTGCTGCTGCTGCCGTTGCTGCCTCCTTTGTTGCACGCACTGAGCAATTGGCAATTGGAATTGAAATTGGCAAAAAAGTTGGGTCTGGACCGACCAACAGCCAGCCAGTCGGCTAGCGGGTTGGCCCAGGCGTTTTCGTGAGCTTTAACATAAATCATAAAATTAATAACCATAAAGTGACGGCAGCAGTTTCCCCAGTGCAGGGTGGTCGGGGCATGTGTGCCACAAGGTGGGGCACTCATCGTTATTGTTGTTCATGTTGCTGTTGTTGTTGTGTTGTTGTTGTTGTTGTCGTTGTTATTGCTGTCTGCACTTCAAAGGCAACTCAATAAGTAGAACCCGCTCGCTCAAGCAATTACAATTGATGCTTTTCACTTTTTCACTTTAAGTTTTGTTGTTGCTGTTGTTGTTGTTGTTGTTGTTGTTGCTGTTGCTGGTTTTTCGATTTGCCTACTTAAAAAGTTTTTGCAATTCGACTGTTGCAAGCTACGCTGGCTGCGTGGCATTCGATTCTTTGAACTTGCTTCATGCAACCGTTCAGCTATTACGCCGCCTACGCCACGCTGCCATTGAGCGGCTCACATTGAGCTATTCCAGCTATTGCCGCTCTAATGAAGGAAGGAAGGCAGACAAATATTAGACACATGGTGTGCTCATGGATTTATAGTTCCGTCTCTGATCTATAATGACGTGTAATATTTATTTATTTATTGAACTACCTCCCTATTTATGATTTTATATATAATATT